GGGCTCTGGAAGGGGGAGGAAATAATCTTCACCTTGCAGTTGAAGAAACTGAAACTAACAGCAAATGATCCTGGCAAACAGGTCAGTGCTAGAGGTGAAGGCCTGGGACAGGGTTAGTGGGATGCTGACAAGGAAGTCTTCTCCGGGTGGTTGTGCTTCTCAGCTGCTGAGGTACAAGTAATGTGCTCTGAGCCAGCCATGCTGGCATTGGGCACAGAATCCATGACCCCATGCTGCTTCTTTCCTCTGCACGCAGCAGCACCACCTCTACTTGGCCAAGGTAGAAAAGCCTATCTCTGCAGCTGGTCCATAGCTCTCTGCAGCAGTCTGCAGAGCCTTGGGTGTACCTCCCCGCTGCACTGGCTCTGACTGGGTTCAAAAAAACTGGTATAGGAATATTTTCCTTTTCTACCTTAAGCTGAAGCACCAGATAATACCTAAATACCTTGCAGTGGACACCTACTAAATTTATCCCGAGCTAGTGTACTACAGCTGCTGGTTTGTAGGATGCAATTACTTGTTGTGAGCTTGTATCATTTACCAGAGCTTCAAATAGTACCGAGAAACAGCAGTTCCTAATACGCTGTCATACTTAAAAGCCACACTGGCCTCCCGACTGCTCCAGAAACTCGTATTTCCCAAGCAAACTTATCAGGATAGTCTTGTGAGTCTTTTGTAAAACTCTCACAATGAATACTGCACTTGGAGAAGAAATCTTCCTAAACCATCCTCTAAATAGGAACAGGACAACACAGCGTCCAGTTCTTAAATGCTGTATCTCACGACTGGGTTAGTATTTTGATCTGAGTGGCCTGAGCTGTATGAAGGCTGGAAAGGCTGAGTCCAGGGAGAGCTCTACAGGGCTGAGGGACGGGGAGCAAAATCAATGAACCTTGCTACACTATTAACTGCTGTAATGCCATCTACTGAAACCACCTTGAACTTCATGAAATCTTCCCCTACAAAATAGTTTATATATAGATACACTTGTGCCAAATGGAAGCATTTTCAGTGGGTAAAGGGTTTACAGTATTGTCATTGTAGTCAGCGGGACTAGGGTGGCAATGCTGAGTGATCAGCCACTTGTTGGTTTATTTGGTTATTGACAGGCTGGACCCTCTGGAAACCTGCAGGGCCATTCATCTCCCCTTCCTCACCCTTTTAACTTGGCTTTTCATCTGATCTCTGCACACAGCTGCATTCAGAAATGCAGAAGTGTCAATAAGAAGCCTTAAGTGGAATGCTTCCTTCCTGCCCGTGCTCTGAAAGGTTAAAAATCACCTATTTCTCTGTCTGATAAGGCCAAGAATCAGTCTCTAGGCTAGAGTATTGGGTTGGGGTTTTTTTTCCAGTAATTAAATTGTTTGGCAACAGAATGTACCATTTGAATCTGTTCTGTAGTGGAAAGTGATGAAAAATCTGATTTTTTTTAAAAAGGTTCATATTAAAAACCCTCAAAGTTTGATGTGCATCAGAATGGAAGTTTCATTTTGTTTTTATTAATTATATACTGCTTTGAGTAAAGCTTTTTATTAGGTATTTGGGTGGCAGGTTTTGGTAGTTAAAATATGAAAATAGCATCTACAAACAGGCTTATGCTCATCCAGGGCTTCAAATAAGGTATTCTTCATGGTTAATGTTTCTGATTTTGGGCAGGCTGATGGAGGAGACAGTCAACCTTTTAGTCTACATAGAAACAGTATGAGGGAGTCTGTGAAAAGTATTAAGGTAGCATATAAAGAGATGCTGAATATTCAGATAATTCAGGTATTAAGCTGGTTGTATTTTTCATAACTCCTCGGGTGTATTGTGGTCCCTTGGAATCATTGTTTGTGAAACAAAAATGGAGAACAGAAGGCACTTCTGCAGTCCTTCAAAGCCTCTCTAACAACTGCATCAAAGAAATATGGCTTCACAACAATTGCTGTAATACAGTCGTGGTCAAAATTAAAACAGTTCAGCTGTTGGTATCTTACTGAGTCCCAAAATCTAGACACCATCAGCACTTAAAGCACTTCCAGAGGAAAACCACAGCTAAAATATGCAAGCGTTTTAGCTGGTTAGCTGTGCCTGCCATCTCTATTTCCATACAAATGCCCATCTGAATTTCAATGTGAGAAATGTTAGGGGCTTTCAAATTATCCACAATCTTGCCAATCTAAAAATTTTTAAATCACCTTGCCTTCTGTGAGGAGCCAATCTCTGTTCCCATGGAAACAAAAACAGCAGCCTCTGAGCATCCGCTTCATTTGTTAAAACTCCTCTGAACCCATCTATGGCTGCTGGCTGAAAGCTGATTCAATACACTCCAGACCCTACATCAACTCTGCTTGGCTCTGAAACATGCTCCCTTTGCTTCTTTTCAAAGGAACTATTTAGGTATCCTTCCAAAAGCACTGCTTCACAGTGTAAGGCAGTCCTGCTGTCATTTTGCTTCAGTAAAATTGACAACTAACACAAAAATTAATTGCATATACTATGTTCTTAACCAATACCTAGCATTTCATAGCTGTTTCCAATGGAGGCCTTCACTGAAAGGTGGACTTAGTCCCTGATGTTTTTACCCAAGAGAAAGATAATCATAGTCTTTGCCATAATTATGAAGAATATGAATGGATTTCCTCTAAAATTAACATCATGACATGCTGTATATCCTAGAATTATCATTCATATTACAGAAATGTGGGGGTCTTTCTGTGCTTGGTACATGTTTAAACATGGTTAGCTACCATCCTTACCCCTGAAAGTGTTTCAAAGACTAAAAAAAGGAGAAAAGGAACTGTGGGGAAGTGTAATGTCATGGAAGGCTTGATTAACATGAACAGTATCTGGTAGTTCTTTGGAGAGAAATATAACCAGTTTGTGAAAGAGAAAATGAAAAGATTTGGGTTTCTATCTCCCCTTCTTGTCATAACTTCAGGTACCTGCAGAAAGATATTTTTTATTTTTCTGACATCCTTTGTATGTTTTACCAACAGACTTGCTTTCTCTGTTGCATTAATTCAAAGGAAATTACTATTCATTTGCAAGTGTTGCATATTCAGTAGCCACGTAGGCAATGCCTGCAGTGTTGAAGAGGTTTCCACTTCTCATAAAGGACTCTTTAAATACTGCAATTCTGGAAAGAAAGCAGGCTTCAAGTTCACAGAAACATTAGACAGAAGTTAGGATATGCTTTGCAAAAAAATAATCTTACCTGATTGCAACTACAGGGGGTATGCACGTAGGCAACAGCTGTTCAGACTGGCATTTGCAAAGACTCTGCTATGTTTTGTGAAAACTCCTGGCATTTTTAGTTGATCTCAAACCACTGGACCTTTGTCCAAAACATACCATCTCTGGCAGGTCTGTCTCTGTATGAAATATCGCTTCTTTAGTAATACAGTGAGTTCTTTAGCATCATGAAAGGCAACAGTTTAGATTCCTTTGGTGTGTTTTAGCAAATATTCTGCATATTTGCTCCTTTACAAACACTACCAACTGTTTTATAATTCTTTTTCTGAGTAGAAATGCGAAACTAGAAAGTGACCATCTGAAAGATCTTTTCAAAAATCTTTAAAAAGCAAAACTTTTCTAGTTAAACCAACATGGCAATAGTTGTAGTTACATTCCCAGGAACTGAAATAAAAAAGTGCAGAAAAACCCAACCACTAAAACGGAAAAAGCATTTTGAATTTCTATCACTATGATATCTGAACAAATACATTAAAAATATACATAGTTTTGTTCTGAATCAAAATTGCTAGCCTACTAATGGTAATGATTCAACACTTACATCAAAAAGAATTTCCTGTTTGTTCTGAGAATAATTAAGAGTTGGTATATTGGGAAAAAAGAAGGCAGAACTAGTTGCTTGTACTCAATAAAAAGAGAGCTGGGAGGTAGGAAAACATTAGTCAAGAAAAACACTGCAAGAGCATTGCAGGAGTTATTTATCTAGGAATTAAAAAACCCCCTAATACACTCTAGACAATCTGTTCTGCGAGGCTTTGCCTGTGTTTAGAACACTTGGCTAATTTCTGTGACTTTCTAGGAGATAAAAAGCAAATACATGTACTTTCCTAAATTGAATCTGTCATGCCATTAACCTTTCAGACTATTTCAAATAATGACACAATGGGACAATACTTACTTTTATGAGTGGCAATTGTGGAGCTTTCAACCAAAGTTAACTTTTAAAGGTTATTACTACAAATCTTATGTAATGCCTTGATGCTTTAGAGTTCCATATATCCCAAATTAAAAAGAAAAAAAACACAACTGCTGTTGCAAACTTGTCCAGAACATGCTAAATGCACACTTTGCTTTTTTTGAATCTTCTCTATCAGCTAGATGAGATGATGTCTTTGGTTTATGAAAGAATAGGAATGTTGCCATTGTACGTTATGTACATTGTGTACATTGCTACATTTCAAGGAGTTACAGAATCATAGAATGGTTTGGGTTGGAAGGGACCTTAAAGATCATCCAGTTCCAACCCCCCTGCCATCAGCAGGGACACCTTCCACTAGACCAGGTTGCTCAAAGCCTCATCCAACCTGGCCTTAAACACTTCCAGGGAGGGGACATCCACAGCTTCTCTGGGCAACTTAAAGCCAGCTTAAGTCAGCTTAAAGCCATTTCCCCTTGTTCTGTCATTAACTGCCCTTAGGAAAAGTCCTTCCCCAGCTTTCTTGTAGGCCCCTTCAGGTACTGGAAGGCCGCTATAAGATCTCCCCGGAGCCTTCTCTTTTCCAGGCTGAACAGCCCCAACTCTCTTAGCCTGGCCTCATAGGAGAGGTGCTCCAGCCCTCGGATCATCCTGGTGGCCTCTTCTGGACTCATTCTAACAGGCCCATGTCTCTCTTGTGATGGGGGCTCCAGAACTGGACGCAGGACTCCAGGTGGGGCCTTACAAGAGTGGAGTAGAGGGGTAGGATCACCTCCCTCAACCTGCTGGCCACAAGGAGTTGCTATGGGTGACCCACAATAAGTACTAAATGGACAAAACACAGGAAGACAGAATATTTAAAGTTTTAATCCAACAAATGAAGAGAGTCTTAGCACTGTAAAATACCATTGTATTGCTAATACTGTAGAATTGTACATTAAAAAGAATTATTGTCTATATATGTATAAATAGCAAGTTTTATGATACAATAAAACATAGTATAGAAACCGTTTAAAATTAAGTAGAAACCTCTTAAACAATTGAGGTATTAATCTAAGTGTTTCTCCAAACATATTAAATAAAACACAGTTAATACTGACTCTAAACATCCCCCCATCTTCCCCACTCCCCTCCCTAATTAAACTGATTAGAAAAAATAGTAGTCTGTCAGTTACTGTTTTGCATTCTTTCAGAATCATTTAGATTCTCCATTTTCTTAAAATACAGTAGAACAACTCTTTACAATACAATACTACACCTGAAGTCATTTATTTCCAAACACTATAATTTTGGAAGTAAGTATTTAAGATTAATTTTGAAGGCTAGAAGAGGCCCAAGGAAGTCTGCGGGAGGGCACTTAAATTTTGAATGCAAATTATTTACACAAACATTAGTGTACTTTAATTACAGCATAAAATTTGCAACATAGCTGATGGGTGTTTTTAACAAAAGCTCCAAATGAAAGAAAGGGAAGAAAAACAGATTACAAAATCAATAATCTAAAGTTCTTCATGGTAGAAACGTTCATCATGAAGCTGCCTACCATAATCTGTTGCTTCACTGTTAAGGAACAAATCTTGGTTCTTAAGAATTTCTGCTTCAGAAAGCTTTTTATCATCATTCAAATCCATTTCTTCAATAAGGTGAAGAGCCTTTAAAATAAATAGAACACCATGTGCACAGTTAATAGATATGAGCATTTATAAATAATGCTTTTGGAATGGCTTTGTCAAAGTCCTGCCACAACACCGTTATTTGTAACGAGCTAGACAAGATTTTACATTCAGAACAGAGCCTTTCTTTCCTCGGTTTGTTTCCTTGCCTCTTTTATTTGGTGGCAGAATCATGATATCAAATGCTACCCTCACTATCAATTCTAAAGCAACAAATCAATGTCAAACCCACAGCTTTACTTTGAGGGCAGAACACAGTATTAAACTTGCAAAGATTAGTCATCTTCCTGGAAGTACTCATAGTCCTTGAAATCCACGGACAAGTGCAGTATGCGTCTTTAGTGTATGATGTGCAAAAAATGCAAGCTCAGCATGACAGCTACAACAGCAAGTCCTTGATGTGTGGGAAGGCCCTCAAGGAGGATTTTAGCCAACACAGTATTCCAGTTGAGCATTCTCTTTCAGAAGTGTGCACTGGTTCTCTCTCAGTCACATATTTACCCTGTGTCTGACAAGAGAAGCATGGTTTACAGCTCCCAGGTTAAGCTGTAGGCACTCTTGCCTTCAACTCTGGAGGTGTCCACTGTGCTAAGCCATTTTACCTGTGGAGATTCACTTTTCCCTCATATGTGCATATTAAAAAAAAAAAAAGAAAGTAAGGATAGAGATTTGCAGCTGGATACTCTGTATCTATTTATGATTTGCAAAAAGTGCTCCATGGCTATAATTCATTATTAAAATGTAACTGGAAAGTATTTGATATCCACCATGAAAAGGGGTTTTCTACCTTCAACAGTGGACAAGATAAGCCATCTATGCATATGAATTTAAACTTTGGGTAGCAAATCATGTTTTCCCTCATTTCCTGAAAGCAAAAGCTTGCTTTCCTGACAAAAAAAATTAAGTACTAAATCATTACAGTGTCAAATGAAACTGCAAGTTAAAACAGTTGTCAGATTTTTGCTTATTTATATGTCATAAAAGGAGGGAAGTTCAGCAGTAGAACAAAAAAAACGATTGCAGAATATTTTACTTGTAGCTTATTCACAAGTATTATATAGCTCAAAGCAAACAAGCTAGTACAGCAGCTCAATTGCACCTATTATTTCTGAGAAATAGAGGAGTCCTAGTATTACATGTTTTTTATTTGCTAAACATCTACAAATACAATGATTTAGAGAATCCTTCTGTTCCTACTTTTTCTGATTGCTTTGACTCAATGTAACTCCTTAGTGCCTTTTTTTAAAATTAAATATTACTTATATTTAAGCTGACTACATGACCAAAAAGGACTGAAGAAAGTAACAGGGACTAACATCAGCCAAGCAGATTTTAAAAGCACTCTGCATGGCAAAAGCAGAAAGTTTATTAAGACAAACATCTTGGTAAACACATATCAATTCCTGGAAATTGAGTATATAGTAATTTTTCTATTTTTATGTTATTTAGCTACCAGGTTTCTGAAGTCATTTTGCAATGCCAAAACAAATCTGCAATATTCAGCTTTCAAACAGCAGTTCATGACTTGAGTAAATCTCTTTAGGACTGATGACTTTGCTAAGCCCTTATATTAACTGAAGAAAAAAAATAGCACATTAGAGAAACAAACAAAAAACCTGATTGCTTGCAGAACTGAGCTATTACTACAGCATGGTCTTGCTGTAAGCTAAAATTTGAATGAATAGCAAAGAACTGCTAAAAAACCCCCGAACAACCAAGCAAACCAACACAGGTATTAATAGAGTCAACACCACACAGAATTCATGTAAGAACAGTATTGTTTCTGTAAAATAAGAATCAACCACCCTCAAGAGTCAGATGTTAAAAAAAGTCTGTGCAAAGGCTTACAGGTCCACATTTACAAAAATACTACCGGAGTAACTGAACAGCGTGGCTTCCTACAAGGTTAGATACATGTGCACCCAGCATTGCGTGCTAGCCACGCTTCTTTTTCTGTCCCCAACAGAGCTGAAAAAGGAAGAGGTGGGACCTCAGCAATGAGATGGTCCAACAGAGCAGATGGGCTATGCTGTTTGACATAAAGCATCTCCTGTCTTTACCAGGAATTACGGAGGCATGGGAAGACCTGTTGTTCCTGCCGTTCTGAACACCAAAATCCTCCAGTGCAAAGGAAAGAGACTTGGACGAATTAAGATAAAAAGTTACTAGCAGAAGGGCAGAAATCCTCTCTACCACTGTCAGCAGCTGTAAAGTCTGCTTACTAAAATAGGTTGTTATGGAACATGCAGTGGAACTGCCTGCTACAAAAAAATAAAGACAGCTAAAATGAGAATCCACGTAAACCTATTATAGCATTCTACCCCTGATTAAACCATTCTCATTATCATCATCAAAGTCTGCATTGCAGCATCTTGAATCACAGAATACTTCAATTTTCTTGTACTTATAAAGACACAAGGTTTTTGTTCTACAAATTATGGCCACTTAGAAGAATCTTGATCAATTTCTGTTTTCAAATTTATGCTGTCAGCATAAAGCAGCTTCTTTTAGTAGTAAATCTCATTAATTTACCTAAGATAACTAAAAAATAACTGACTAAAATACTGTACCCTTAAGTCAAACCAGATAAGCTAGCTAGACGTGTAGAAAAGCACTTTGTTAATTTACAAACATTCATGCAATTAATAGCAAGTTCAAATTTGCCTAATTAAAGGACCCACATTCTTTGTCAAACTGAAAAAAAGGTTAAAAACATATGCAAATATCTACTAAGCAATATTTTTCAATTACTAAGACACAATAAATCTGAATGCATCTGTCAGATGCATTTGTTGTGATACCTTAAAAGTTCTACTGCATTAACTAAAATCTAAACAGCAGTCAAAATACATACCTCCTCTTGTGCAATACCCTGATTATTAGGTACTATCCAAGACAACAGCTCTCGAGGGTTGAGTTTTCCATCATTATCCTTGTCATAGTCATTCACAAACCGATCCTTCTCAACAAGTATCCATTCTGGATCTTCCCTTGCAGCTAGTAAAACACATTTGTCAAGTTTAAAGCCACTCCTTACCTTAAAGCAGATGTTTTCACCTTTTCTCCTAAGCAGATTTACTTAATCTCATAGAACATAATATAAAAGTAATTTCACTAATCAAAATACCAGCCTTACAGACCAGTCCCAATAAATTAAATAAATGCATCTGTCTACATATGGAAAAAATACTTTTTATCGATTGAAACAGAACTTAAAGCCAAGGTAATAGTAAGCTTGTAAATTTACAGTCGAAGGTTACCATCAACTGAAGTGTTTATTTTAATATCTCCACAATTACTCAAATTGATAGTGGAGAAAACATACTTTATATTGAATGTGCTGCTCAGTAGATGGTTTCCTACTTATTGGGACAGCTGACATATCAGTAGGAAAAAGTTAAAGTGGATGACAGAGATACCTTACATTTGCAGTATTTACCCTTGATGGAATTATTATTTCTCTCTCCCATTAACATATAGCATTGGTGTTGCAGATACCATGTTGAGAGTATCACATGACAGCAACATAAGCAATACTAACGGCCTCAGACATTGGTCCCCTCAGCACTTAATGAACAGAGGAAAATAGGGAAAAGCTTTGTAAGAAGTGTCCCAAAAAGTACGTAGATTACTAGTGTTTCTCAGTGTATGGGATTATGACATTATAAGGCCATGTGAAATTTTTAATAACATTCTACTGTCTGTTCCCCTGCTTTATCAAGGGAGGTCCATCTGTGACAGCTAATAGAGAAGGCAAAGCTCTTGATTAATGCAGGCTCAACAGACTTGGGTCCATACTGCAGGCTTTCAAATTAGTTTACTGTCTAATTTTTTTTTTTCCTAAAATACCTGGAATATATGCAAAGAAATTTCATTTACTGTTTTTGTTTATTTGTATACTTGTTTTATACTTACCCTATGCCCTGGTACTGCATCCTGCAACCTAGTCAGAAATCTTAAACTTGTCTCTAACTGTTCAAGAAATTTATAAGCAATTCATCAAACTGATAAACATTGCAGACAAGCATGAACAGATATTAAGATTTCCTAAACCTTATGAAAGTCAAAAGTAGTTGGTGTCACAAGCAGATTAGTAACAGTTTAAAAATAATTAGGTTTCTATTATAAAAGAAAAAAAGTGAAATCTCTCTCCTTCCTTTCTAACATCTAGTTTGCAAGTAGATTATGCCTTAATGTCACAATTCACCATACACTGTTGCCCAAAACCACAAGAGAATTATGCAACCAAAACCCACCATGTAGTTTATTAGTCATTTTAAAGTGTGCTGCAGGAACAGTCTGCAGAAGCGATAGCCATTTGAAGAAAAGCTATACACAAACTACTGCCAAATACGTACAGGGCAGACTGAAATAATGACCTACTATGATACTATTATTCTAAAAGACAGGATAATGTTACTCAGAACCTGTAGGTGGAGGTGTAAAAAGCTGAAAATAAAGGTGTATACAATTCACCCCATTCCAAAAGGTTTTGTTCAGTTCCTTCTTTCATGCCCCCACCCTTTTTCCTTACTTGGGTCTCTTCTGTAATCACCAAGGAATTCTTCCAGGCTAACAAATCCATCACCATCTTTATCATGTTCTTCTAAAGCCTCCTGAATGACAAAGTCCTTTTGCATACATGCAAAAAGCAAAATATCAATTTGTGAAAAATTAGCATCTTGTAATCAAGAGAAACAGCAATAAATCATTTCAAAGCAGTATTATTTAAAGTAAAGACTCACTGATTTCAAATGTTTTATGCAGACTAGTGCAGTAACTGGTTCCTGTGCAACAAAACAGATCTGTTCTTAAGAGTTTAGGATGTCAGGTTTTATGAAAACCAAATCTAAAAGGTGTACATAGAGTTGGAATCCTTCAACATAATTCAAAACTATACAAGTAGCTGAGAAACATGGATTTGTACAAAACTATATAATCTTGTTTCTTTTTTCATGTGATGTAGTCACTAATTTGCATTTTTGCAGCTTTATGAAATTGTCGGGAAAACTGGCTGGTCTTTTGGTCCTGTGTTTTGCAATGAAGCCAACGTGTGTCTGTTCCTGTAGTTCTGTCTTTTCTTGTTTGTCCACAATCAACAGTTATGTCAAGACCAACAGAGGCTCTGTTTGTGTTTGCATGGCTCCTCCTAGCAGCTGCCTCTGCAGCATCACATAGCCAAAACTGAAGGATCTATTGCAGAAAAGCACCAATGTACTTTTAACTGGGGTCAGCTGCCGGTACTGAGCTGGAATGATACCAACAGTCACGGCAGTAATGAAACAGATGACCAATGACAAAATGCTCCTGGCTGAAATAATAATCCTCCAAACTCTGACCATAGTACAGTCAATATTAAAGCTTCACGTGGGCCTGAATGCTCTTTTTTGGCTAGAACAGTGGCTATCGTGTCCCTTGAAGTAAAGTGAGAGTAACCGGCACTTTGCCTTTTCCTGTGCAAATAAATCTTTCCTGTAAGTCCCCCTAACCAGATTTGAACTCTGAACTAGGCATGAAAACTTCCTCAAGCTAAAATCTCACTGATGTATTTCCAACCTAACAGAATTTAGAGATAGGTATGTCAGTCCAATCCCAAAAGTCTGGGACAGTTGTGCAATACTACTTCTTGAAACAGATTTCAAAGAAAAGCACTGAAAAGCTGAAAATGGCTCCAACTCCTGAACTCCAGCACTGGATCCACAACACATTATCTGATTTTTAATTTGATCTGTAAAAGCAATACACATTAACTGCTAAGCAGATGTTGCATCTATATACACAGGCTGATAAACATATCCTCCTAGATCTTACCGTCATATACTCCACTTCTTCAGGATGTTCAAAAGCAACAAATTCATCCTCATTTAGATCAGGAACATCATCTCTATTAGCTTTTTCAAAACGCTTTTTCTCCTTTAAATGAAGCTTAGAAAATAGATTTAGTTACAGCACTTAATGAAAAGGAAAACCAACATTATAGTAACTGGCTGTAAGCTTATTAGAATATTAATTGTTTCACATTACCTACTCATATTATACTGATGTTATATTTTCACTAAAAAGAGCGCATCCGGAGCAACAAAACCAGCACTTTTTAACTGAGGTGGTTTTATTCCAAGAATAGCATAAAAACTTTTAATTTTTTTTCAATTTGAGGAGACATTTAAAACACACTCTTAGCCAAGGCTTCAAAAACACAAAAAGGAGATAACAAAAAGACTATGAATTCTTGTGATTATACATGCTTCCTCTTAAGTCACCAATTCCCCAACTAACCTAGTGGAGTACAATGATTATAATTAATGGTAGCTACTGCAAATTCCAAAATTTACATTTTAAGGACATTTAACCTTCTGGATCTGTATCTCATTTATATCAAGGGCTGCTTGTAGTTCAGAGAAGGTCTTGAAATATCACATATGTAAAATGTCTTTTCTGAATCCATTTAAAGTGCTGAAGGATTAGACAGATTCCTTTAATACAAGACTGTTGTCCATTCTATCTGAACATATTTCAAAGCAAAGTCACTTCTCTAACCTGTTTTAAGTATAAATATTAGCGTGCCTCTTAAAAATAAATAATATCCACAATAAACAGGCAAGTTCTTATTTCTGAATGTCTTGCACTTACCATTTCTGGATTGCAAATATGCAAAAATTTTTGTATTTTTTTCTTGTTTCATTTCGTACACTTTCTTTAGACAAAATAAAGACCCACACCATTGATAACTGATCTCTACTCAAACTGCATATGATATAAGGTATAAAAATTTTGGAATCCCATGATTGTGTTGTGCTATCAGTGTGACTGATCTGGATAAGTGAACGGCCAGCAAACCAGAGATCACAGATACTTAAAAAAAAACAAAAACCATTTGAAATTGTACTTCTTAGTTTGTATCCTGTTTATTGACACTTGTCTCAAAATTAGGCTAACCTGATTAATACAGAGCATAATATGTAAGTATATCTTAACTATTCTGCAAAGTAATTAAATATACTTTTAAAGAAAAGCTGACCTTAGCTGAGAGTTTAAATAGGAAGGCAATTCAGAAGGCCTGACTACAGAAAGTACTAGACTGCAACATAAACTTGAACTGTTGAGTGGAAAAATCTATTTTTCAATGTTTATTTGAGAAGTGATGAACAAGGCTGCCACCTTCTGGTAAATTTGTATGTTTACTTGGTACCAAATTTAAATCAATACCATAGTCTAACTCTTCCATTTTGATTAGCACAGGATCACTAATTTCCAGAAGTAAGGAAAATGCTGAAGATGGCTGACAAATGATGCATGTACAATGCTGCTAATGTTGCTCTTTACAATACATGCTGAAGAAGACAGCAAGTAGGAAAACCTAGCAAGCAGACAAACGAAGTATAGCATAAATAAGTGAGTAGGAGTTCTACCTCAGCTTACGTATCTATGAAGGCAATATCTCAAACATGGGATCAATATTTTGACTGGTAGTTCCATTTAAAGTCTTGTTTTATTTCAGAGTTATGTAATTATTCATTTAAGTGACCTCCAAAACTCTACATTTTGTTCCTTCAGTGTGTAAAACCCCTTGCCCATTGTCTATTTTAGCTTCACTCTTGCCAACATCCTACATTATCTACTGTTATGTTACTAAAAGCAATTAAAGCAATCCTCATAGAAAAAAAAAATCCTTAGGCTAGAATAGTCTAAAAACTCACTTATTCTCTTTTTGGGAAATATTTACAGGTACTTAGAAACGTGCAAATTGAAAGGAAACAAGTTTTGCTATCTGGTGATTCATGGTGAACCTTCCCTCTTTGCCTCTCCTGCCTCTTTCCTTTCCATTCTTATGGATCTGGTTTTGTATACGAGATTAATCCAGTAACTTCTGTTGTTTATACATCCAGTTTTAGCTATCAGAATTGTATTTTGACTGCTAAAAACGTCTGAATTGCTATTGCTTTCTCTGTGGGTCTCTAATGGACAGAAAATGTTAAAGCAGGCAATACTGATACCCCACAGTGGGTACTTGAGAAATAACTGTAAAAGCGGATAGAACTGCAATAAAGGGTGTTAAAGAGTACAAGGGCTTCCTTGACCTCCAACACCAGTGCTACTGGCCCCTACTGAAGGCAGGACACTGGTTTGGCTACAGACCTATCTTCTATTAATAGACTGCCACCTTGTTTTAAGATGATGGCTGGAGACTGTGCTCTGTGGTACGACTGACAATAGACTTGTACTCCACTCAGCTAGCAAAATATACTCAGGAGGTATGATTTCATTCTGTCTGGTTTGTTGGTAGCAGCTTTAATACTCCATTACTTTACTTTAATTACTCCCCTGTCTCAGATAGATGAAAGTGTTAAAACATATGCCAGCTGCTATGGTTTTTCTACCCATCTTGTTCCGTCACAATAAACAAACATTGCTGCCTTTTGCCAACAGCTTACAGAAACTGATGCTGAAACATTTTACCTGTCGAAATGATTCTTCTTCTTGATCCTCCAGGACAGTGTTCTCATCAAAATCAATTACACGATCATACATTTGCATATTATACTCCTTCCAAGACAATAATCCATCACCATCTTTGTCATAGTCATTGAAGTGTTGCTTAGCTTCTTGCGTAACATAATGTTTAAAAGACTGCTGTATCCAGGAGCTCAGCTCATCTGTGAAAATCATTAAAAAAAAAAAAGTAAAAAATCAGAATCGTCTGCACTATAAAAACTGTAAAGTTACCACAATTCTACTCCGTCTGGAATATATTCTGCAATTCAGATGTAAGCATATAAGCAAGAGGTTAGTTAAAGCAGAACAATCTGTTTCTTCTATGCTATGGCTTTTTTCAAGGTAACTGAATGAGAGAACAGATCACATCTACAGCCTTCAGTTTTTCTTTCCTAGTACCATTTCCCCACTCATACCCCTAAGCTAGAGTTACACAGTTACTTCAATCTGGCTTACACTGCTGCTGCCAGAAAAAGTGTGATGCATCCCTCCTTTGATACACAGGGAATGCAGTAGGAAAAAATGACTACAGGTAGTGTTCATACAGCTGCATAGCAAACTGGATCACTAAAAACTTATCCCATAAGAAGGAAGATTCTTAGTTTTCAGCTGAGAAAGTGTCCTTATTTAGCTTACTAGGGCCTGAACAATGAAAGCAAGAAGCCTGCCCCCTTCTAATATACAGATGAATTCACACAAATACATTAAAGTTACTTCATTTAAAGAAGACCAGGAGAACATATTCTCTCAGTAAGATCCAGTTATTTTCAGGTGCTCGGAAGGGGAAGATAACTTCCTCTGCATTGCAAAATTATACAGCTAAATCAGCTCAACTGAAATCCTGCTCTGAAGAGTCATGACAACTAATAAAAAAACCCTACAGAAATTACTACTTTCCTGTAGAAAAATCTTACAGCATTTTTTAAATTCTAAAAGCTCGTTCTATCCTTCTTGGCAGAAGTGTTAATACAACTTTACTAGGTTTACTTAAATACCTTTGAAAAGCAACAAGAGATTTAAAAAAATACATTTTGAATACTGAATCTGTGTTACCAAAGGAACCAACTTTATAACAGATTCTGTGAATTGACTGAACATGAGGAGGCATGCATGCATGCCATGTTTTGTAATCACTGAGGTTTGTGCACAAACCCAGCACTGCCTTACAAGAAACTGCAACACAATTTCTTAAAGATGGGTAACATATTTTATATGTTATCATATTTATTATTTTATGGGTTATTATTACCCATAATTTATAGTATGGTTTATTGCCCATCATTTAAGGCATGAGGCACAGACATCTGAGCACATAATGTCCAGTGCCATTCATCATAAATACTTAATGCTCTTACATTAGAAAAGTGGTTATTAATATACCACATCTTCTCTCACTGTTAGCCTCCAAACAGAGGTGCCACTGATAAGGGGAAAGTTCTCAAAGAGTGTTTTGCAACACATTGAGAAGTAACTGAGCTGGGAAAGCTTCAGTACCATAAATTTCTTAGTGTAAAAACACATTCCACTGTGAGTTTTCCTTCGGGAAGTGAGGGGAAGGCAAGTTTTCATTAGACTGAAAACAAGATGCAAAATATACCATGAGGATGGAGTATGGGTGGAATCTCTGCGCTTTAAAATATTAGACCTCTTTCCTTACAGACTTCACATTGTGAACTGCCTGTGGTTGATTACAGGGATTAGCCATCCTAAATTATGTATTCTCACCTCTACACAATCAGATGCAGGAACACTGAAATAAGCGTGCAGTTGATTAGTTTCAGCATATAAACTGGGAGACATTAAAGAGATATAGTTGATCTCATCTTTAAAACTATTTGTCTTCTCACCTAGAAAGCTCCCTGCATGTTTAATATAATGTTAATAAAATATCGCTGTTCTGGCATTTGAACAAAGGATTCTACTTGCTCTGTGTGCATGCACATGAGAAACTTTTGATTTATCAGAATCCCAGCAAAACAACAAAAATGCATTTTCATAAGTTTAAAAATTAAATTAAGAAAGTGTCATGATGATGTAGTGAAAGGAAGGGCCTGAGTTTACCATGCAGTTCATGAGTCTGACTGATAAAAACCTTTCTGTCCAGTAACAGACATTTGATACTATGTTGTGATGAAATGAATGCATGATCCCTCAGTGTCACCAAGTGCTGCAGCACATATATGTAATGCAGTGTACTTTCTTTGCCTACTAAACTTGCCCTCCGAGTTGCACAAACAAGATTTCAAACGCAGAAATCCACTGGATTCACAGTGTGTCCAGACATGTGAGGAGCAGGCACAAGTGCAAAGTTGGCACATGCAAGTGAGTTACTGTTCTCTCACCCACGTTAACTCACTCCTGTGTGGTCCTGATGGCCCTCACTTCTTTCACCAGGTACAAGAGAAACCTCGGGGACTGAGACACCCTCTATATGAAGCCGGTTGGTATTTCTGAGCTGCTGTGCAAGAGGGTCCTCGTGCTTTTCATGGAAATTCTCCACAGCGTAAGAGTCACCGGCGGTGTCACGGGGAAAGCGAATGTTTTTCCTTCTCTGAGGGCACTGGGCCAGACCCGGGACACCGACAAGGCCCAGTCCCCGCCCGGTTAAACCCCCACGCATGCTCCCGACTCGGTCCCCGGGCCAGCGGCCGTTACCCTTGGTGAGGAGGCCGTCCGCG